CTTTTCTGAAGCCCTCTCGTGGTGAGCAGACCACAACATTGGCATTTAGCTCCTGAAACCCCCAAGACTAAAATCTATTGAGATTGTTTCCTATTGAAGACGGTTAGCTCATGTAAAAGGGGAATGTGGAATCAACACACGTACAGTGAGGGAAAAAAGTATTTGATCCCCTGCTGATTTTGTACGTTTGCCCACTGACAAAGAAATGATCAGTCTATAATTGTAATGGTAGGTTTATTTGAACAGTGAGAGACAAAATAACAACAAAAACATCCAGAAAAACGCATGTCAAAAATGTTGCATTTTAATGAGGGAAATAAGTATTTGACCCCTCTGCAAGACATGACAGTACTTGGTGGCAAAACCCTTGTTGGCAATCACAGAAGTCAGACGTTTATTGTAGTTGGCCACCAGGTTTGCACACATCTCAGGGGGGATTTTGTCCCACTACTCTTTGCAGATCTTCTCCAAGTCATTAAGGTTTCGAGGCTGACGTTTGGCAACTCGAACCTTCAGCTCCCTCCACAGATTTTCTATGGGATTAAGGTCTGGAGACTGGCTAGGCTACTCCAGGACCTTAATGTGCTTCTTCTTGAGCCACTCCTTTGTTGCCTTGGCCGTGTGTTTTGGTCATTGTCATGTTGGAATACCCATCAACGACCCATTTTCAATGCCCTGGCTGAGGGAAGGAGGTTCTCACCCAAGATTTGACGGTATATGGCCCCGTCCATCGTCCCTTTGATGCGGTGAAGTCGTCCTGTCCCCTTAGCAGAAAAACACCCCCAAAGCATAATGTTTCCACCTCCATGTTTGACGGTGGGGATGGTGTTCTTGGGGTCATAGGCAGCATTCCTCCTCCTCCAAACACGGCGTAGTGTGTTACCAATGGTTTTCTTGGTGACTATGGTCCCAGCTGCCTTGAGTTCATTGACAAGATCCTCCCGTGTAGTTCTGGGCTGATTCCTCACCATTCTTATTATCATTGCAACTCCACGAGGTGAGATCTTGCATGGAGCCCCAGACCGAGGGAGATTGACAGTTCTTTTGTGTTTCTTCCATTTGCGAATAATCGCACCAACTGTTGTCACCTGACAACACTGATGCTCCTGTTGTTTGTGGAGTGACTCATGTGTTCCATGTTATTTATGTAGTTTATTGTAAAAAATTCGGTCACAGTTCCTATGATCACTGTTACATTGCATTTATGGCTTTATTTTTGGTTTGGCCATGTTTTTCTTTATTGTAGTACGGAGTTAGACTGATGGCCTTAATCAAAGTTTTCTTGTTGTTGTTGTTTGACTTGCATCCCAATGGGATTTTTGCACACAGCGTTGGTGTAACGTGCTATTTCAGGAATATTTTGATGTTTTTTCCTGGATTTTCTGTTTGCACATGCACAAAGTCACTTTAAGATGTTTTCTTGTTCATGTTTTTTTTTGTTGCGGTTACACCCGATTCAAGAGCCGAATGGCTCGCAAGGGTATACCAAATAAATGAAACTAAACTATGCAACTATGAACCTTCTCACCAAGCTGCTTGGCAATTGTCTTGTAGCCCATTCCAGCCTTGTGTAGGTCTACAATCTTGTCCCTGACATCCTTGGAGAGCTCTTTGGTCTTGGCCATGGTGGAGAGTTTGGAATCTGATTGATTGATTGCTTCTGTGGACAGGTGCCTTTTATACAGGCAACAAGCTGAGATTAGGAGCACTCCCTTTAAGAGTGTGCTCCTAATCTCAGCTCGTTACCTACGTGACTTTACCAAATAGAACCAGAGAGTATGGATCCTTGCAGTCACGAAAGCTTCAAATCTAGAATTGGGGTCAAACACTTATTTCCCTCATTAAAATGCAAATCAATTTAGAACATTTTTGACATGCGTTTTTCTGGATTTTGTTGTTGTTATTCTGTCTCTCACTGTTCAAATAAACCTACCATTAAAATTATAGACTGATCACTTCTTTGTCAGTGGGCAAACGTACAAAATCAGCAGGGGATCAAATACTTTTTTTCGCAACCAATATCATCTATAATACATTGGGTTTTTTTGTTAGATCGCGTAAATATAAATGTCGTTAAACCCGCCACCAGCCGACACAGTCAATTAGTAATGGTTGTCACGTAAACAGAACATGCCAATTCGTTACTAGTACAGCACACCAGTGTGTTTGGACAGCAAATCTACAACATTCACAATACGACGTATTGCCAGTAATTACAACGACCATCATCAGGCGGCAGCCACATTTGTGGAGAATTCTCCTGCTTCATTCCTTAAATAGAGGGATAGGTGTGATGACTTCATTGTGAGCCCTTCTTCTGCAAAGTGGGGGGAATTATTGAATGCATGTAAATTACAATGGGTATCCACTAAAATAGCAGTACCTGTTATTGTCTGCCTACAGGTTATCCCCAGTGACATATGGTGACCTGTATAGGCATGCATTTAAACAATGTATTATTTAATCGTGATTTGAAGCTTTCGTGACTGCAGGAATCCATACTCTTTGGTTATTTCGGTAAAGACACGTAGGTAGAAAAAGAATAGGTCATGACGTTTCGATCGCAACAGGTGAGACCACAGCAAGAAAAAACTGCTGAAGTAGGCGAGAGATCTGCCATGGCACGAGGTTATATATGCCTTGGTAGTATGGGGGAAGAGAGGAGGTGGGGGGAGAGAGGGGGGCGGGGCAGAAAGTGGACCCCGTGGCAGCACATGGAGAGATCTGAGAGATCGGCTGCAGGGGGGGAGAGAGAAGGGGAGGGGGGTGGGGCAGAAAGTGGACCCCGCAGCCGCACCCAGGTCACTGGAGTGAAGTGGACCACTGATTGCTCAGTTTGTACCCATCTTCTCAGTTGAAGTTATGTCTGTGTTTGTATATCTAGATGGCTTCATGAACAAATCTCTGATAATAGCCAATGGGTTTGCAGAGTACCTTCGTCTTGGAAAAGTCAATTCCGTGTGAGCCCACAGTGTTAAAACAATGATCAGCAACGGCAGAGGTAGTGATCCTACCATGTTTCCGATCTGCCTTGTGTTCGCGAACGCGGTCCGAGACATGTTGTTTCATTTCCCCAATGTAACTGCTGCCCCAGCCACAACTCAGTTTGCAGACACCGGGGTATTGCATATCAGGAATCACATCCATTACAGATGGGATCAAATCACGGATTTTGTGTACTGTGTTGAAACGAACCTGGATCTTGCGTTTTTTTAAGATTTTGAAATATTTTTGGTAACCCCTGCTATGTATGGTAAAGTGATGGTATTGGTTGGATCCTCAGATGGTTGTCTCCCCATAGCTGGGGAGACACCTTTGCGGATTGTAGGGTCAGAATATCTGGTCATCCTGAGGGCTTGGTGTACGTGCTCCAACTCACTGGCAAGGTGGTGCTGGTCGGAGATGCAACGGGCCCTATAGTGTAGTGTTTTGATGAGGGAATTCTTCTGGGCTGGATGGTGGTGGGAGTCAGGCTTTAAATAGGCATCTGTGTGGGTGGCTTTCCTGTAGACAGTGTCCCAACAAGCCATCAGGCCTCTTCTTGATCAAAACATCCAGGAATGGTAGCTTGCCATCCTTTTCCACTTCATTGGTGAATTTGATAAATGGGTGTATGGAATTGTTCTGGTTGAAAAATTGGTTCATTGCTGGCAGGCCATGTGGCCAGATGACGAACATGTCATCTACGTATCTCTTCCACAAGGAAGAACGTAGGGTGGATGTCTGGATGGCATCTGTCTCAAATTTCTCCATGAAAACATTCACTACCACTGGCGATAAGGGAGATCCCATTGGGGTACCCTCATTTTGTTTGTAGAATGTACCATTCCATGTGAAGTAAGTGTTGGTAAGGCAGTGCCTTACCAAAGTTGGTACATCTGGATTCAGTCCCTGTTGGACCAAGTATTCAATGACTGCAATGGAGTCAGGTACAGGAACCTTGGTGAACAGGGAGACTACATCGAATCTGACAAGTAAATCATCTGGAGACAGTGAGATGTCCTTGATTAGAGAAACCAAGTGAGCTGAGTTAAGTACAGCTGAGGTGGTCTTGCCCGTGAAAGGAAGCAGGGTCTCAGGCAGAAATCGGGCCAGTTTGTAGGTGGGTGAGTTAATGGTGGAGACGATATAACGTAACGGGGTACCTTCTTAATGGATCTTTGGAAGGTCATACAATCTGGGTGGTCTAGCAGCCAAAGGTTTTAGTGAGCGCTGCTTGGTCGAATCGATTAGAGAAGTTGAATTAGTGATGATATTGTTGGTTTTTGTAGCTAGACGGTTGGTGGGATCTCTGTTGATTTTTGTATAGCTGCCATCATTAAGGTCCTGAATTTTGTTGTTGTAAGTGGTTTTATCCATGATGACAGTGGCATTCCCATTGTCGGCTGAGAAGTGATGGTGTGACTGCATTCAGCTTGGCCTCAGTGTGCATTTTATTTCAGTAAACGCTATGTATTATCTTACCATTTCGATCACGCCCGAGCAGAATATCCAGTAATGGGAGAGTTCTGTCAGCTTAAACTTTCATGGTAAACTGGATGTATGGGTGTTGCGAGTTGAGATTATTTAGCAATCCGTTAAGGGTATATTTGCCGTGTGGCCAGACCACCAATGTGTCTTCCACATATCTAAACCAAGCAGAGAGTTTTAGTGTGCCTGAGGCTATTGCTTTTGCTTATTTAGACCAACACTGTTGCGAATACCATTTTGATTTGGTCGTTTAATTTTAAAGAATCCTCACACTTTCAAACATACCAAAGTTTTATTGTCAAAGTGTTAATATTTTTCAAAACCCTCTCGTGACTGGCGAGCAATTTCATTCAGTACAAAGGTCCTGTAGGTTGTACTCGTGTGTAGAATTAAGGTGGGTCAAAGTTTTTTTGGAGACCTGTTGGTAAACTTAAAAAAATATTAACTTTGTTCAAAGGTCACGACGACATACCCAGCCTCAAGAGAACTTAATTGATTTATAACATGATAATAAACGTTTGTAAGCGCAGGATTTAAAGAGACTGCAGCGGTTTGTAAACTGCAGAACTTCGGAGACTGCCTCAGCAAATATGGCAAAACTGGAAAAAGAGAACATGGACACAGGTAAACAAATGTAGTGCTAAATATTTCATTTCATGTTGCAATACATTGATGTGTATCATTTACATGTAAAAAATATAAATGTATGTTTTGTTTCTAAACATTAGCGATGGAAGATGGAAAGAGTTCTGCCCCCAGGAAGAGGGTCAAGGTAAGTGGTTCTTTGTGTGTGGTTTGCTCAAGTGCATGGATAATGCTACGCTAAACCTGTCCATCCGTTCAATATAATCGATGGGTGAAACTATTTTAAGATGTGCATGCTACATAATTGTGGATGTATGATAAAATGTAAGTGTCGTGTACTAAATACTGAATATGTAGCGTACTGCACTGCACACGGTACTCTTGATATATGTTATACTATTTATGATAGAGTATTATTATTTAGCCCTTTGGCAACCAAATAATGGATGTCAGTCATGAGGAGGGTCATTTGACCATATTTCCCCACGCTGGTCATTGCAGGTTGGTGAAAAGGTATGGGGGCAAAAACCAGGTTCAGATATCACTCACCACTGATGTTAGCCGTAGCTGGGAAGTAAACTAAGGTGGCCAGGTGCAGGGAGCACAGTGAGTTGACCAATGTGCCACGGCATCTTATATTGTATACTATATATACAAAGCATATAAATATACTGTAGAAATGACGCTACATTTTGCATGATAAAAACATTCAACGCGGTGTTCTCATTTCTTAGACATTCTGCGGCTCCAACTACCCCATCAGCATTGCCTTCATTGTCGTTAATGAGTTCTGCGAGCGTTTCTCCTACTATGGCATGAAAGGTATTGCAAGCAAATTCTGAAAGGAATGTATTGCGTTCCACAGTACAGTAATTCAATTTATTTTTGCTAATTGTTGTTCATGTTAAAATTGCTTTTTATAACCTTCGTGAAATCTTCTCATGTTTTTCTCAAAAATAAACATTTGATTAGGTGATCAGACTTTGAATTGTATTAACACAAAAAAACAGCGGTTAGGCTGCCATGCACCGATTTTGAAGTGTGTGTTCAGCGCATATGCAATGTAACATTTTATTTTGTATTCTAGCTGTGCTGGTGCTGTACTTCCGTTATTTCCTGCACTGGAATAACAACACAGCCACATCTGTCTACCATGCCTTCAGTGGACTCTGCTACTTCACACCCGTACTCGGGGCCATCATTGCTGACTCCTGGTTGGGGAAATTTAAGTAAGGGGACACATTTCGATTTAAAGCTTTCATGACTGCAAGGATTCATCTTCTTTGGTTCTTTCGGTAAAGTCACGTAGAATGAGAATAAAATAATAAAATAAAATAAGACAATAAAATTCTCACGACGTTTCAGCCACAACACAAGTAGCCTTCATCAGGTGAAAGAACAGCACTGTCGTCCCGACAGAACAGCACTGTCGTCCCAACAGTTCTGTTCTTTCACCTGATGATTGCTACATGTGTTGTGGCCGAAACGTCGTGATAATTTTATTGTCATCCCAACAGTTCTGTTCTTTCACCTGATGAAGGCTACTTGTGTTGTGGCCGAAATGTCGTGAGAATTTTATTGTCTTATTTTATTTTATTATTTTATTCTCATTCTATGTGACTTTACCGAAAGAACCAAAGAAGGGGACACATGTCAGATTTCAAATCCCTTTGTATATATGACGTTATAGTATGCAACGGCGTAAGGAGGCCTTCATCCAGTCGTGGACTGATCAAAGCTGATAACGATGTTCTATTATAGTATATAATCATCTTCATCTAAAATATATCTACCGCTGAAGGCCTCCTCAAGTATGTACGCTACGTAATATATCTGGCTTTCCACTGTGGCATAGTGCCTGACTCATAATCAGATGGTTGTGTGTTGACATTTTATTTGGGTATCAACTCAGCCTAGGATTTAATGATGATAATAATAATGCTGTGGCAATTAACACGGCCCCCTGCTATTCAATATTTACATTTCCTCCACTGGTTCAGCACTGCCGATGGAGACGAGGATCACTCAATAGTCATTTGATGTCTGTTTGACACACGTTATAAATCATAAGGTCAATACTGCAGTCCGATGGAATCGTGTAACCTGTCGCCTACTAGCATACAATCTACCCATAGTTCCATTTATTTGGTATAGCCCTGTGAGCCATTCAGCTCTTGAATCGGGTGCAACCACAACAAACAAAAACATGAAGAAAAAAACATCTTAAAATGACTATGTGACTGTGCAAACAGAAAATCCAGGAAAAAAACATCAAAATATTCCTGAAATAGCACCGTACACCAACGCTGTGTGCAAAAATCCCAGTGGGATGCAAGTAGATAGATAGATAGATCCTTTATTGTCATTATCACCAGTACAACGAAATTTAAAGTGCTCACCAGTCAGTACATCATTAATACATTTAAATAAATAAAACAAGAAATAAAAATAAAGTAAAAGATAATCAATAAATTTTATATATAAAAACTACCCAAGTATACCCACATACCCACATAAAAGTACATTTTATCATTGCACATCCTTATTTTACAGTCAATTGTATATAGTATTACTTAGTAATTAATTAGCAGTATTGAGTGTGGTAATTGCTGTAGGATAAAAGCTGTGTTTGAATCTGTTTGTCCTTGTTTTGACTGATCTGAATCGTCTGCCTCATGGCAACAGCTCAAACAGAGAGTGTCCAGGGTGAGAAGAGTCCTTTATAATGTTCTTCGCTTTTTTGATGCAACGGGAATTGTGTAGTTCTTCCAATGTGGGGAGAGAGCACCCGGCGATTTTTTGGGCCGTGTTGATGACCCTCTGCAGCGCTTTCCTCTGAGCCACTGTGCAGCTGGTGTACCATACACAGATGCAGTATGTAAGAATGCTCTCAATGGAAGCTTGGTAGAAGGACACCAGCAGTTTCTGTGTGATGTTATTCTTCCTGAGTATTCTCAGGAAGTAAAGTCTCTGCTGGGCCTTTTTCAGTAGCTCAGAGGTGTTGGCGCTCCAGGTCAGGCCCTCCCCAATGTGGACTCCCAGGAAGCAGAAGTCTGCCACCCTCTCCACACAGTCCCCGTTAATGGTTAGTGGTGGAGTGTCCGTTTTCTTTCTCCTGTAGTCTATTATGAGCTCCTTTGTCTTTGCGGTGTTAAGGGACAGGTTGTTGCTCCGGCACCATGCTGTCAGCCGCTCCACCTCGTCCCTGTAGGCAAACTCATCCCCCCCAGAGATGAGCCCCACCACTGTGGTGTCATCCGCAAACTTCACAATGGTGTTACTATGGTGGACGGAGGCACAGTCATGTGTGTAGAGGGAGTAGAGCAGGGGGCTCAGTACACAGCCCTGGGGGGAGCCAGTACTGAGGCTCAGGACTGTGGATGTATGACGGCCCACTCTGACCCTCTGTCTGCGGCCCGAGAGGAAGCTATGTATCCACAGTTTGTGTGGGAGGATGGTGTTGAACGCAGAACTGTAATCCACAAAGAGCATCCGCACATAGCTCCCCTGCTGCTCCAGGTGTGACAGTGCAGCATGTAGTGCTGTGACCACGGCGTCCTCCGTGGATCGGTTCGCTCCGTAGGCAAACTGGTGGGGGTCAAGGCTTCGGGGCAATGTTACAATGATGTGACTCCGGACTAGTTTTTCAAAGCACTTCATCACCACTGGCGTCAGTGCTACTGGTCGATAGTCGTTGAGGCTGGAAATGTGGGGTTTTTTCGGCAGGGAGACTATGGTGGAGGATTTTAGGCAGGGTGGTACCGTGGACTGTTCCAGAGACAGGTTGAAAATCCTTGTGAAGACTCCAGCCAACTCGTCAGCACAGTCCCTCAGCACACGTCCCGGGACGCCGTCAGGTCCCGCAGCCTTCCTCGGGTTGACGGCCCGCAGCGTGTGCCTCACCTCATGCTCCTCTACTGTGAGGTTCAAGCTGCTGTGGACCGTGGGGTTTGGTGATGCTGTCCCTGGTGGTGTCACCTCAAAGCGGGTAAAGAAGAGGTGCAACTCCTCTGCCAGAGCGGTGTCACCATCAGCAGCTCCGAGGTTGGCCCTGTAGTTGGTGAGGTGCTGAACTCCCTGCCACACCTGCCTGCTGTCGTTACTGTCCAGGCGTTCCTCAATCCTCCTCCTGTAGTCTGCTTTGGCCTCACGGATGCCTCTCTTCAGGTTAGCTCGAGCTGTGCTGTAGAGAGCTTTGTCTCGGGGTTTGAAGGGGATGTTCCTCTCCTTCAGCAGCTGCTGGACCTCCCGGGTCATCCAGGGCTTCTGGTTGGAGTAGACCCGAATGCGTTTGTCCGCAGTGACAGTGTCTATGCAGTTATTAATGTAGCACAATACACTATCTGTGAACACCTCCAGGTCCTGATGTTCGAAGACCCCCCAGTTGGTCCTATCAAAGCAGTCCTGCAGCTGCTGGGTGGCACCCTCAGGCCAGGTGGCGACAGTTGTTGTGATGGTAGGAGCCGTTTTCTTGATGGGGGCGTATGCAGGGATCAAAAGCAGGGACAAATGGTCAGACTGGCCCAGGTGTGGTAGTGGTCTAGCCCTGTAGCCTAGTTTGATGTTGGTGTAGACCTTGTCCAGAGTCTTAGTTCCCATAGTAGCACACTTAACATGCTGGTGGAATTTAGGGAGTGCTGCCTTTAAGTCTGCATGGTTGAAATCCCCTGCTATAATCTGCACAGCGTCAGGATACTTGCTCTGCTGAATGCTAATGCTGCCATGTAAAAGTCCAATAGTTGAGTTAGCATTAGCATCCGGTGGGATGTAAACAGCAGTTATCATGACCACAGTAAACTCTCTTGGCAGGTAAATGGGCCTGCATTTAACAGTCACATACTCCAGATCTGGTGAGCAGTGGCTGTCTACAGTCACTGTGTTAGTACACCAGCTGTTATTCACCGGAGTCTACTGTTCTGTCATGGTGCTGTGCTATGTGGCCTGCTAGCTCAATAGCAGAGTCCGGGATGTATGAATGAAGCCAGGTTTCTGTGAAGAGCAGAATGCAGCTGTCCTTCACTACATTGTTCGCTGTAGTCTGTAGCCTCAGTTCATCCATTTTGTTCGCGAGGGATCTTGCATTCGTGAGAAATAGGCTGGGTAGCGGTGGTTTGAGTGGCTGCCTCCATAGCCTGGCTAGCGCACCGGCCCTGCAGCCTCGCTTCTGCCTTCTATCTCTACGCCGCCTTCGCCTCCTCTCCACCGGGATAATAATCCACGGAGAGCCTTGGCGACTCGCCAACTCCACCGGAATCTTGTGAAGACGGAGAAACTCGCTTGTAACACTCCGTTCGTAACATAGTCCGATCTTAAGGAGATCGTGCCGGCTAAAGGTGTTACTCGCCCGACAAAATGTACACAAAACAAGACACAATGCGTACATAAACAACCATACAAGGCACCGACCGGGTAGACACTGAGCTGCTGCAACTGTGTGCGCCGCCATCTCTCACACTGTGTCAAACAACAACAACAACCACAAGACAACTAAGATTAAAGCCATCAGTCTAACTCCGTACTACAATAAACAAAAACATGGCCAAACAAAAAAAAGTTTTGATGTATTCACTTGCCATGTTTTCGTATCATTTGGGTCTTTTGGTAAATGGTAAATTCACGTAGATAGGTTCAAATTAATTTAAAAAATGTATTTGAACCTATCTACGTGACTTTACCGAAAGACCCAAAGAATATGAATTCCGGCAGTCACGAAAGCTTTAAGTCAAGATATGTTTTAGTACTCTACGCTGTACAATATACCGCCGCTTTTAATTTGTTTTTTTTTATCCGTTAAATCTAGAACGGATTTGTATGTAATACTGTACTATATTGCCTTGTTAAAACTTTTCACAAATCTAAATTATTTTAAATATGCAAAATGCTATCACATGCTACAGGATCGTCATCAGCCATGATCAATCCACTGCTGTCATATAACAACGAATGTGGCTGTCCATTTAAAGGTATTTGACTTTACGAGTATGTGGGGATTACATTAGACTTTAATCCACTCTGGTCAATGTTTTGAGCTCGTTGACTCACTTGGTGATTCTGTTTCAGAACCATCATCTATCTGTCCATAATCTACGTGCTGGGCCATGTCGTGAAGTCCATTGGTGCTCTACCTGATGTCGGAGGGCACACTGTTCATGTGTGAGTAATTCGTGCTTATTTCTGTATCAATTATTGTATGTTGAACTTATTTCGCACCCTACGGAGTCAACCGTCCTAATCAGAGGTGCGGGAAAGGACAACAAACTAAGCACAAAAGCAGTTCTAAAGAAATTTGTTTTCAATATAGATCTAAAAGTACATAGAGATTTGCTTTAATTATAGCCACCAGTGGCTTCCTAATATCAGAAGGAAAAGCATTCCAGATGGCCACAGAAGCTCATCTGAAAAATATTAGAATGTAATCTTAATAGTGATGTGAACATAAACAATATATAACAATGTGGATGCTGTTTTATAGGGTCTTGGCAATGGTCGGGCTAGGACTCATTGCTCTGGGCACCGGAGGCATCAAACCCTGCGTGGCAGCTTTTGGTGGAGATCAGTTCCACCCAGGCATGGTGAGATTTGCCTTAATTATAGCCACCTATGTAGACATGTGTATATGTATTATGTAATATAATTATGAATATATCACATTAACAATCAAATGTGACATTTGTTTTGCTCATTTATCTCGTGCCATCAAATCGTGAAAGTATTTGTCGTCCCCCTCCCCTCTTCTCTAAGGATTTTCACAGTTATTAAATGGTATGTATGCATAATTATGTGTAATTATAGGAGAGATGGTATTTGTCTTTACAAACTAGAAATAACCACAATAAAGATTGCCTCCTTAGCTTTTGTTCTGTTTATTGACTGTGAATGTGTGTGTGTGCCGTGTGTGTTGTTTACAGGATCATGAGAGAGGAAAGTTTTTCTCCATTTTTTATTTGTCCATCAATGCTGGCAGCCTCATTTCAACCTTTGTCACTCCTATACTGCGAGGTAACTAGGAAACAGTTTGCAATACAATACCTTGTTTTTAAGTTCGCTGGTAACATTGTGTATACAACATAATTTGATTTTATATGTTATCTACCCAAGAGTAATATTTTAAGAACGATGTCTAAAAAAATGCATGACTGATCAATATGTTCAACGCAAGACAGTAGAGTGGTATTCGTTTTACTGTACATTATTTTACTTCACATTTCATTTTTTAATTGATTAAAACAACTATTTAAAATAATACTTGAAAAAGTATATATATATTTTTAAAATATTTATACAAATATAAAGAGACATTGATATTTCTATTGCTGGTTCTTAAACCAAATACAGCTATGAATAACACATGTATATCGAGAAAGGTGACACTATAAAAGGAAGTGGTATTTATTTTGCCTACTAACAGAACAAATGTAAATACAGAGAAGCGTATAGCGAACAAACTCATGTTGTGTGAATATAACGTCAAAATGTTCTTAAAATCATAGTACTGAATTAGGGTTTAAAATGTACATATTGCTATCACATTTATCATGGGGTGAGTACTACTGCTGTGCTATACTAATGTTGCTGTGGTAATAGTTCCAGTCGTTTGTATTTATAATTTTTTCCCTACGTCTATATTGTCCAATAGGTATTCCGATGTTTAAAAAGATGTAATTCACATTTGTGTTTGAACAGACGATGTTCAGTGTTTTGGAGCAGACTGCTATGCTCTGGCATTTGGCGTACCCGCCATTCTCATGGTGCTTGCTCTAGGTAAACCTACACATTTTCAAGCACTGCCATTTTATTACAAACAATTATAATAGCCAATGTTTTTATATGTATTTAAAAGTTAATATTATGCTATTATGTAAAATGTATTCTCAATAATGCATTACTGTATTGGTAAGATTATATTATACACAAAAACAACTGTGTGTGAAGAAGTCCTCTTCAATACATTTGCACTCTTTAAGTATATATAAATGGCAAATGCTGCGCTACACTTTCATTTCAGTTGTCTTTATTGGGGGGAGCAGCACATACACAAAGAATCCACCAGAGGGGAATGTATTGGTCAACGTGAGCAACTGCATTGGGGTGAGTCACCATGCAATGTTATAATCACATTAAAAACCTGAATGCAAAATACTGTTTCGTAGTGTCAAATATGACTTATTACAAACGCAAAGAATATGCTTCTCGTAAAATACTGATTAAGAAATTCACCTTATTAAACAGCAGGGATCAAACTCGCTCCTTGCCACATTTCTGACATTATACGTAAAATGTATCCACTTCATGTGATTTATAACATATGATTCACAGCTTTGTCCATCCACTGCTGGATAAAAGCTTCCCCATGCAGTGTATGTCATTTGGATTGTTTTAGCATATGTCACCATGCTGGTCAGTGTGAGTTGGACATGGGGGGGCGCACGTACGAACTCGTTAAGATATCACTCGCCGACAATATTTGCCGTTGTTGGGAGTTGAACACGGATGACTGCGTCAATGCTTCACAAAGTATATTTGTTTAAAAATGATGCTCCAAAGTTAAATGTGCACACCTCTTGAATAGGTGCATTATTACATTTTATTTTTAACTCACTTTTCCAGTTTTTTTATGAATTGGTGTTTGAAACAACATCACATCTCATCCATCCCCTTTATAGAGGATGCTGCATCCACAAATTTGTAATGGGGTCCTCCTTTTTCCGATTATCTTTTACCAACTATTGCTGTTTCTATGTACAGTGAGGGAAAACAGTATTTGATCCCCTGCTGATTTTGTACGTTTGCCCACTGACAAAGAAATTATCAGTCTATAATTTTAATGGTAGGTTTATTTGAACAGTGAGAGAGAATAACAACAACAAAATTCAGAAAAACGCATGTCAAAAATGTTATACATTGATTTGCATTTTAATGAGAGAAATAAGTATTTGACCCCATCTCAATCAGAAATATTTCTGGCTCCCAGATCTCTTTTATACAGGTAACAAGCTGAGATTAGGAGCACTCTTAAAGGGAGTGCTCCTAATCTCAGCTTGTTACCTGTATAAAAGGCACCTGTACACAGAAGCAATCAATCAATCAGATTCCAAACTCTCCACCATGGCCAAGACCAAAGAGCTCTCCAAGGATGTCAGGGACAAGATTGTCCTACACAAGGCTGGAATGGGCTACAAGACCATTGCCAAGCAGCTTGGTGAGAAGGTGACAACAGTTGGTGCGAATATTCGCAAATGGAAGAAACACAAAAAAACCTGTCAATCTCCCTCGGCCTGAGGTTCCATGCAAGATCTCACCTCGTGGAGTTGCAAAGATCATGAGAACGGTGAGGAATCAGCCCAGAACTACACGGGAGGATCTTGTCAATGATCTCAAGGCAGCTGGGACCATAGTCACCAAGAAAATAATTGGTAACACACTACGCCCTGAAGGACTGAAATCCTGCAGCGCCCGCAAGGTCCCCCTGCTCAAGAAAGCACATATACATGCCCGTCTGAAGTTTGCCAATGAACATCTGAATGATTCAGAGGACAACTGGGTGAAAGTGTTGTGGTCAGATAAGACCAAAATTGAGCTCTTTGGCATCTACTCAACTCGCCGTGTTTGGAGGAGGAATGCTGCCTATGACCCCAAGAACACCATCCTCACCATCAAACATGGAGGTGGAAACATTATGCTTTGGGGGTGTTTTTCTGCTAAGGCGACAGGACAACTTCACCGCATCAAAGGGACGATGGACGGGGCCATGTACCGTCAAATCTTGGGTGAGAACCTCCTTCCCTCAGCCAGGGCATTGAAAATGGGTCGTGGATGGGTATTCCAGCATGACAATGACCCAAAACACACGGCCAAGGCAACAAAGGAGTGGCTCAAGAAGAAGCACATTAAGATCCTGAAGTAGCCTAGCCAGTCTCCAGACCGTAATCCCATAGAAAATCTGTGGAGGGAGCTGAAGGTTCGAGTTGCCAAACGTCAGCCTCGAAACCTTAATGACTTGGAGAAGATCTGCAAAGAGGAGTGGGACAAAATCCCTCCTGAGATGTGTGCAAACCTGGTGGCCAACTACAAGAAACGTCTGACCTCTGTGATTGCCAACAAGGGTTTTGCCAACAAGTACTAAGTCATGTTTTGCAGAGGGGTCAAATACTTATTTCCCTCATTAGAATGCAAATCAATTAATAACATTTTTGACATGCGTTTTTATGGATGTTTTTGTTGTTATTCTGTCTCTCACTGTTCAAATAAACCTACCATTAAAATTATAGACTGACCATTTCTTTATCAGGGGGCGAACGTACAAAATCAGCAGGGGATCAAATACTTTTTTCCCTCACTGTAATCCCTCTCAATTTCTAGTGTCTCTTCCACTCCATCAGTCCACCTGTGTTACCTTGTTCATTCCACCTTCAAGTTCTTTCGAATTCAACATTTTAGACATATATATAGATGTATACAACAATAAACATTAAATACGCTTTCATTTAAGCAAAGGTCAAATACTACTTTAAGCTACAGTACTTATACAAAGCCAACCATAATGTTTTTCATATATTTGAAATTTCTCTTTTACAAAAAAGTGGAAATTGAATGGTAAAATATTTACAAAAACTTTCTTCACATAAAAGGCTCTTAATATTCATTGTTTCCAGTACAGTTTGCAATCAAGAATCGCTGGAATCACCGGGGCAAGCAGTTTCCCAAGCGAGACCACTGGTTGGACTGGGCAAAAGGAAACTACAATGTAAATAACTCAGCCCTGAATGGTTTGCATTGTTGAAACAAATGATTCTGGAGAAATGTATTTGGATCAAGTGCCATTTCCTCCTTGTGATTAAATAAAATAAAATGCATGTAACTTTTTGCGTGCAGGACGATCTTATCATGGAAGTCAAGATGGTACTGAGGGTCCTTTTCCTATACATCCCGCTGCCAATGTTCTGGGCCCTTTTTGATCAGCAGGTGAGGGTGACTCAAAGATCAAGTACCGTACATATAATTGTTTGCTCAATTAACATTCTGTAAATACAACAAATCTAGTGCCACAAAATGTCAGGAAAAAGAAACATTCATAAGGCTGTGTAGTAACTGCCATTAAAATAAATGGAATTGAGCTGCTTCATCCCTGATGCTTCAAGATGGTGAAACACAGACATTCTTGGACAAAGAACGGCCTCTGCCAAAATCGTTACCTATTGTATTTATTCCCTCTTTAGGGCAGTCTTATTTACAAATGTGTTATGTTATTGTTAAATGTGTTCAATTTCGAGAATGTTAATTTCACCACTGTGGTTACTTATCAGTGAAACAACTGAAAACCCTGTGATTTATAATTTCAACTCAGGGTTCAAGATGGACTCTGCAAGCAACAACCATGACTGGAGACTTTGTAAGAATTTTAAAAAAACACTACATTTACTCCATACTGACGATACAATATGACTTAGCACGAACATGTTGTGTACATGTAGTAGGGAAATCCTAAACTCAGGCATAGATACGAAATTTTGGATGACCTGAATTTTGGGTTGAACCAAAAACCTGAAGGGATGCTACTCATATGCCGTCACTTTCACGCTATTCCACCAAAGTGTTATCACGTGGTATCGGATAACATCATTTATTAGCACAAATACATTTTACATTTGGACATTTACACGTTCATCAACCGGTATTTTTACATTCCCAAAATAAACTTAAATAAAGGATAGTTGCAGTATATGCATTTTACGTGAATGTCACGAAAGAAAACAATCCAAATTGTGTTTTATGGCGTGAAACCATTTCACACACAAAGGATATTATACCTATGCATTAGTTGGCACTTGATATGTTTACATATATGCCCATATGAAATAGTTTAGTCCTGAATATTCATTCAATGTACTTTATTTTACTTTCAGGGTGCCTTTGTTCTGAAGCCTGATCAAATGCAGGTTTGTTTTTCAACTTTCTTAAATAAATAACGTATTTGTTATTTAGGCATGTTGATTTTATGTTACCTTTACATTTTTAACTACATTTTAAGCATACTTTAATACTGCAGTAAAAATACGAGAACCTACTAAGAAGTGTTAATTTTGCAATGTGCATTGCCTTCTTCCTCAGACAATAAATCCCATCCTAATTCTTGTGCTCATTCCCATCTTTGACGTTGCGATTTATCCACTCATCAGGAAGTGTGGCATCAACTTTAGGTGGGTGAAATACAGTGCAGCACAAACAACTGAGAACCTTGGTTATCCATTATATGATAACTTGCCAAAGTGAAGTTTGAAGTGCCCCATCGACCTGATTTATAGTGCTTTTAATGTATGCACTATAGTATGTCATAAAGTAACCATGTTGTTACTCACACCACTATTCATTAAAAAAAGTTTTTGGGTTAGATCGTGTAAATATAAATGTGTCATTAAACCCACCACCACCCGACAGCCAATTAGTAAGGTTTGTCACGTAAACAAAACATCCCAATTCATAACTAGTTTAGCACATCAGTGTGTTGGAGCGTAAAATGGACAAAATGTACAATTCGAGTACGACGTTTTGCCAGTAATTACAGCCAGCATCATCAGGTGAACAGCCAAAGTTGTGGAGAAATTTTCCTGCTTCGGTCTTAAATAGAGGGATTATTGTTATGCCTTTGCACCTGATTGGCTCACAATGGATATATTAATTACCTAACCTTACTAAATGGCTCTGTCAGGTAGTGGCCGGTTTAACGACACGTTTATATTTACGCGATCTAACCCAAAAACCTCTTATGGATCGCGTCGTTAAACCCGCGAAAGCCTACGTGTTAAACAGGCTCACAGCACTGTTGACAGAAGGCCTTCCAACAGGAGCTCTAAAGAACCACTCTAGAGGGCATTTGGCATACTTTCATGCATGTGCCAATCAGATAACTGCGGTATAACAAATTATACTGCTGGGTGTACAGAGGTGGGAGATTTTTAAAAAACCTCGCTATTTCAACCACTGAGGGAGAACTAAACGACAACCTTTGAATTGCAATTCCATTGTGTTAAGCATTACACCAAGGCATCATCCCAACCATTAATTAACAAGGCATTAATGTTAGGGATCATGTCGCAAAACATATAGCAGGTTGTAATTTGTGCACATTTTCAATAGCTGATACTCAAAACATTTTTTCGACATAGAAGTGTAATGTATAATGACTTATTGTCAGTAGCTCAGCTTATTGAAGAGTATATTGAGTTTATTGATTATATTGATGTAGTTTATATTTTATGGTAGTCATTATATAGTGTAGTGTATACCCAGTTACTTAATGTTAACAGCTCAGCTTATTGGAGAGTATATTGAGTACATTGATTATATTGATGTAGTTATATTTCGTTTTTTTCACATCGGTTTATTGTATGGTAGTAGGGTATGTGTAGTTCTTTAGAAACTCCCTTTTTTGTTTTCCACATAATGCACTAGCTTGATAGGCGGTGGTTTGGGCTGTTGCAGTTCTTTATTATACAAATTTCTCTCCCTTTATTACTGCTAATCCTACATAATACACTAGCATAATATGACTTTGAGACCCCCTCCCCCCCCACCGCCTACACATTCCACAAGGAGTGACTAATCCCATATCTGCATTTGTCATCAATATGCTAAATTCCTCTGTTGATATGTAAACTCCTTTGTCAAGGCGCTCTCCTCCTCCCACCCAGCTTAAAATACGCTGCCAAGCTTAGCAGTGTTCATTAGGACGCTGTCTGTCCGACAGCTCTGTTTTTTCACCTGAGGATGGCTGCTTGCGTTGTGGCTGAAACGTCGTGAGAATTTTATTGTTTTATTTTTATTATTTTATTATTTCCCTTCTACGTGATTTTACCGAAAGAACCAAGAATATGATGCTCAAAAAGTAAATTTTCCATTTTAAAAAGTATGTGTTTCTACCTTTACAGTCCGCTTCGCAGGATGGCAGTGGGTATGATCCTGGCCGCTCTTGCGTTTGTGGCAGCAGCACTGGTGCAATTGGAAATTGATGTATGCCATCTACAGCCGCACAAATAACACAAACTGCTGTCCATTGTGATGTATAGAAATCCAATTTTACAATTTATAATACAATGTAGAGTACTTGGTGTCGAGTTAAATATAGGTACATGATCTCCCTGCTTATCTGTGATGTTGTGGGACCAATATCGTAGGTGCTATTATCCACCAATAGTGCCACGGGTAACTGGAATTTTTGCGGATCCTACAGCGCCTGTGGCTAATAGGATTTGCAGGTAATAGGGTTATGGATAAGAGTTATCCTGTAATGTGCAATTTATGCATATAGTTCTGCATTACAATATCTTCTTTACTGGATTAGGGAATATTTTTAGTTTTGCGCGTAGACTACAGTACTTTACTGTATATATTACCAACATACATGAGCAGTCAATGTCTCCTTCATATTTTTGTCTCTTCATGTAAAACATGTTTTTAACAACTCATCATCTCCAAGCCCATCTTAGAGTACACTATTTTAGCAGCATTGATTCAATACATTTGCAATACTTTACATTGTCCTTCATAAAGTACACTTTAAGCCAAAATTGTTTCAAGTGTGACATTTCAGAAAAAAATAGTCGGACTCGGTGTGGAATTTCCGAATACTGTAAATAAAGAACAATTGTATATGTAAATCCCTTTCTTAATCCACAATCCACTGCTGGATGAGGGCCTTCCCACTGTAAGTCATGGGTGATATTTGACCATACTTCACCGTGCTGGTCAGTGGGGTTGATGCAGATGGGGTGTATCTACTGTATACAATACATTTTACCACACTGCCCTCTCCTGAAAACATACAATATGATCGCTGTACTATCGTAATGATGTAATTAATACACTGCCATTTCCTTTCAATTAGAAAACACTGCCCGATTTCCCATCATCGGGAGAATTCAGCTTAAGAGTCATCAACGCCGGAGCTCATCCACTGAACATCCAGTTTGAGAACGATCAGTTTGACGTGGCGAATATGTCGGTATGCCTTGTTTTTGGACGTACATTTTGTGTTTGAATTTCCAAATTATTGTACAGATGCTGTGTACAGCCTAGCAATTTTTGGAATCCACATCGTTTGCTTTGTCAAACATACGTGGCTTTGTTGTAATATTACAAAATTAAATATCAGTGCAGCACATTAATGAGTATCAAGTAATTTTCTGTATGCGGTATGCTGCTTTACTTAAATATTTGAATAACAAAACCAACTGCAATATTGTATAGAGCTATATATGGAATGAAGACTACATTTAAATTATTAAATCACAGTACAGGTATACAGTACGTTTAGGTGATTGGTATACATCCAGAAAAACAGAGGTAAATTTACATTGTCTGCAATATATTGTCCCATTAAAATGTGACAATAATATAATTGTATTATGGAGGTATTTATACACTCCAAAAAATCTTAATACAAAATTTTAATTGCGTAAAATAAAAATTAAAAATGTAGACAGTTACTGTTAAGTGTATGTGGCAGTAGTGTGGCCGAAGGAATGAAAATACTATGCAGTACTGTACTGTACTTTATATGTAAAGATATTTACACTGTGTTTTTACAGGCTTCTGTGCACAAATCGTTCAACATTGTGGCGAAAGAAAAACCGTTTCAAATAGTGGCATTTCGAAATGGCACAATGTTCCCCTGTTCCTTTAATGCTGAAGAGAGGGAGTCATTGACTGTGATATTTTATGAAATCCCAGATGAGCCGCTATCCCTTCAATGTAAACAGGTGGGAAAATGATGCCTTCAGATACTACACTATGGCATATACATATTACAACCAGAACCTATACTGGAGTACATTAATTAGTGTTACTGAGTGTGTTTTTTAACATAATTATTTATTATGCTGTATTTTCCAGGAAAATGATTTAGTCTCAAAACCTGAAGAAGGCATGGCAGCAGTGAGGTAAAACCACGTGTTCGTGTGACTGTGTAGTTTGCACATCATGTTATGTAATGTAGCAATATTTTTTTAAATAAACGTTCAGAACAGCACTACTGAATATAAACCGGTATGCACTCGGCAAAAGCTAATAATTACATTTCATATACACTCTCTGCTTTCCTGAAACAAAAAAATAAACTCCTGTATTGGAACACAGCCAGCCACAAAGGGCCCTAAGACATTATTTCCCCCCCTCCCGTTCAAACGTTAATCCCCCTATAGGTAGAACCCTGGGACTGTATGTAGGCAATAAAAATATCTATATATTTTTTTACATGTTAAAATAATGTAATAGTGTGATTAAAATAAAATAAAAAGTTAAAGGTAATTAACATAATTGCGTCTTAAAATGTTTTCATTACAGACTTCATTTTATCCATGGCCCTATTTCTATTCGTGGTAACCCATGACTTCCCATAAGTCTTTGCAGAATGGCATCTTATCCGTTATTTTTGTTACAGATGAGTCGCGTAAAAATGTCATCTTATTATATTTACTCCGCGTATAAGAGTAACATGTTGCAGTTAACCATGCAGATAATAGTATCCACGGTAATATGGGTCCCCCATATGGGTCCCCCATATTACCGTGGATATGAGGAGTTCTCGTAGTTTCTCAGTGCAGATATGTAATAACAAGTGGCGCATACAAGATACATGGAATTTGTGGTGGAGATTTAAACCATCGTTTGGCCGTTGGACTAAGCTGTCCTATCCCCTCGGCTACAGCACCACCACACAGAAAACAGAATTGTATTTTTCTATATTTACATTTGTGGAATAGCATTAGCCCCACCCATGGCACCCACTTCCCCAGTCCTCTGCATTGTAATCCACTCCATATTTCTGATCCAATTTCTCATTGTATTCTGTGATTTTGTTTTACCTATTTTCAGATTTGTTGGTGGGAACAGCGAAATTGAAACTGTCAATATTGGAACTTACAGTCCAGTTAATGTGAGTGGAGACTATAGTTTTACAGACTACCAGCTGGTGTTTCGTGGAAAGTAAGCAGCATCCTTTTTTACTTGTACAATCAGAGTACAGTTTTAAAATGAATTCTATATTCAAAAACTACTGCTTATCAATTTACATAAGCATTTGGAATCCTGTATAAATATGATATAGTAAACTGTAAAGCAGGGTTTTGCAAATCCCTTTCCTTGTGACCCCTACTACCCAGTCAGGATATGCCATTCCAAGTTTACCAGCCTTTTTCTATTCAAATACAAAATGTTAAATGGGGAAGCTTGCCATTGAGAATTACAACTTTTGAATGAGGTAATTGGACAGAGAAACATGTGTACATTATAAAAGAGACATGTAAAAAAATGTTAATTATAATACATTGTAGTACTGTACTGATAATGTACTTTTAAATCAAGCCAAATTCATTTTATAGTATGTGTAATGACTTAACACACTTCTCTTGAGATGGCACTTTATTGAAGACGCGTTCACTTGACATCAGGCGGAAACCCCACTGCATTATATACCAACCGAGGCTACGCCCCCCTTCTTGATCATTCTCGATCTGACTGGACGCTCGCTCCACCAGCAGACTCTACCGACCTCTTCCATCACCTGACCACGCTCCCTTCTCGATCATTCCCATAGCCACCAGTCCCTTCGCACTCACAACTGATACCCCTGGCCACTAGTGCATTCGCACTTTAGGCTGCCACCCCTGTTATGACCACCCATGGCCACTAGTCCACTCGGTGCATGTAGGCTCTACTGTCATTACATATGTATTGGGATCAGCATGATTTGCTGTAATCATTAACGTTCTGTATGATATTTATATGGAACTTTGTTTTTACTCTATATTTTTTGTGGCATTAAATTACATGTTTTTGGAGATTAGGATGACAATTAAGATATGTAAAGAATACATGTATAAAATGTATATTGTTTGCATTTTCAGCCATGAAATCATGTCAGGAGATATTTTTTTAGGAAAGGTTTTTTTGGATTTCGGGGCTGCCTACACAATCCTTTTGAAACCGGTAAGGTCTTGAAACACAACTCTGTAACGTGGTGTATATGCATACAATTATTTACACGCTACAAGAAAAAATACATGGAGACACCATGTTCCTTTCCAAGCTAGACTAAGGAAAACCAAAGCAAATAGGAGCATATCGATATGTTAATACTTCTGTATAAAGTTCTGTACTTTTAAAAACATCCGTAACATTTCAGCTTTGAAATAAAACATCCATTTTATAATCCGACTAGGTTACTCTGTGGATGAGTATGCAGCTCTTAATTGGAAGGTAGCAAGTTCAAATCCTGATTGGGGGTTGACTTAGTCCATCATCCCTCCTGGGTCGATAAAGTAGGTACTACTTTGTGGTGAAATTAACGATGGTTAGTCCGATGGATAGACTCGCCCCCACCATAGGAATGTGTCATTTCCACCACTGGCTCAGGGCTGTAAACAGCAGATGAGCATCACCTGAACGCTATTTGAACAGAACATTATTTTCACTTTTGACTTTTAGATTTTACATATCATTGTCGTTATTGTGGAATATTATAGAGAATCAAAATATAGACTTTAGATTTCCAAAACATTGCAGCAGATAAGAAATGCGTAGGATGTGTAGTCATATATTAATTTGGAATCTTACATTCCATTTCTTGTTTTTTTTTCCCAAGGATGAATTCGGTATCCTAATGATACAGGATTTGCCAGAAAACTCCATAAACTTAGCTTGGCAGGTTCCTCAGTATTTCCTGCTCACAGCTGCAGAAGTAATGTTTTCAGTTACTGGGCTGGAGTTTTCATACTCTCAGGTAAGTTACAATTTTCATTTACCATGCACACCAATAGTCTACCAGATGTTGTTACGCACCATATTGCAGTGTGTAACATATTTGTCTTCAATATGCATTTGCGTTTTAAGATAATGACTGCATATCCAATATACTCTACTCAACTGTTAATGTCAAAAAAACAATTGTGTGCATATGTGTGTACATACAGTATAACGTATTAGTTATTGCCCTGTGGTAACAATGTTTTGATTCACGACAACTACTCTTCACAGCGGAATATTTAGCAAAAAGCCACTATCTAAGCTGTTGGGCTTATGGGTCTGCAATGTTTGAGTATATTTTGCGTTTATGTGTTTTGCATGTGCGAACACTACATTAACAAATACACACTCTTGTGCAAACCAGGCACCGACCAGCATGAAGTCGGTGCTGCAGGCAGGTTGGCTTCTCACAGTGGCGTTTGGAAACGTCATTGTACTGATTGTGGCTGAGGGTGCAAATATGGAGCAGGTAGGTTTATTTTGCAGAATAATGTCAGAATGCCTAAGCTAATGTACAACATAATGTTGCATAAAAAGCCAATTGTTCGTGTAGTTGCTGGTAAATAATACTGCACCGTTTCACTCCATGTACCTGAAAATACATCAGAGATCTTAACTATACAACACATCCGCAAAAAAAACATGCGCAGCAGTGTTACTTAAAATGTGCATATTGTACCAACAGAATCATAATCTGATTTTTATACTGTCAGAAATTCGATGAGCTATGAAGCTCTTTTTTAACAGATGCCCATTAGATGTCCACCATTTGAACAACACATTAAGTTCGTAACGACACGTGATGCTGTGTGGCATTTCACTATGAAAGTTATTTTTTTTAATTTATCCAACAGTTTACGTTTGAGAAGTAAAATGTGAATGCAATACTTTTGTGTCACTCAGTGGGTGGAGTTCATCCTGTTTGCCTGCCTGCTGTTTGTGGTGTTCATCATATTCTCAATAATGGCGTACTTCTACGTGTACGTGGACCCAAGCAACCTCAAAAACAAAGAAAAGGAAGAAAAGGGAAGCATCAGTTCTCTGGACGACTTCAAGCCAATCGCTGCTGAAACTGACAAACAGACCAAGGTGTAACCCATGCAAAAGAACACTACTTTGAAAAGAAACACATGTCCGTGTAGCAACATAAAAAGGGGCTCATCAAAGGCATCATGAAATTTCAAGGATATGTTTTGTATTAAATAAAAATGTTGTATTAAATACAAATTTAATGGACAACACTTATTACCTGATGGTGATCATTTAACTATCGTGTTTTCGAATTTTGTACAGTATTGAAGATGATCAAGCAAAAATACTCTGCTGTAAAATAAAATAAAATAGACTAAATATAAAATAACAGACTGTCCTGTACACTGAAATGTAGGAATAAGACAGCATTTATTCAGCATTATCATTCCTATTGTAGTATACTGTACTTTTGATAGTACTGAAATTTTAAATGCATACACATGGTGATTTAAAAGAACAATGTAGATAATACTATAGATTGCATATTAATTAAAAAATTGGTAAACAACACTTTGAAATCGTACGTTAAGATTATTTTGATTAAACGTGTTTATTTTTTCCATGTTTTGAAAATGTAAAATTATTCAACTCAATGTTAAGTACATCTGAAGTCTGTTTAGATGTTTTAAATGGTATGTGCTGTAACGGAAATGTAAATAAATTAATTTGAAATGTGTTGAGTGTAATGTGAGTGCGAACTATATACACTTTACAGTGTATATAATTCAACGTTGACTAACTTTGCATGCAAAATTACTTCAGTCAAATATCAACCGGTTGGAGTATTGGCACAGTGAGATATAAAACTGGTGACCTGAGTTGTTTCTTAGCCACGGATAACATTGGCAAATGTCTAAACTGGTCCTGGGCACCCTTTCATAAAACCACATCAGCATAGTGAAGCGTGGCCACACGACCTCCATGGCCAACACTGGAGAAGCCTTCATCCAACACGAGATTGACAAAAATGGTTGTAATTGCACATGAACTCCTAAATCTGCAGTGATAAAGGGATGGGGTTTTGCAGATCCTGTATTCCACAACTTACTGTGGTTTTATTGCAGAAACGTATATAAACAAATTTATGAGTTTTTAGCTGTGCGACTCAAAAAAATCTGTAAAAAGGTTGATTATAGAAGTAATGTGGTACTTAACTAAGCACTCAAATAAACTAGGAAAAACATTGTGATTTTCTTTTTAAAACCCAAATGGACTAAATCTATCATGGGGTCTAAGCAGATTTAGTTTCCCGGTCAGCAGACTATGTGAGCACAGATAGCCTGTGTTACCAATTTTTCTTTCCGTTTACATTTTGCTTTCAGTATGATGGGAATGAAAAAAATAATTTTCATTTTTAGCCAGCCTACAAAAACTCCAGAAATCTCACGTAGCTTATGATTACCCCCCACCCCCCCACGGGCTATGGGAGTTGATGTGACCCGCAGGGTAGTCATTCATTTTAGAATTTGCGAATTTTTGGACGAAAGATTATTGGAGTTCTACTGTAATTTAAAATCTCGACAACTGTTCAAGTTTATTGTTGGAACTAAAAGCTAGTGCTACTCAGGAAAAAAGGAATATAGTAGACTCTCGATCCACGTGCGGTTTATCCGATTTGCGGACTAACCGTGCGCCTGAGATTTTGACGTAAATTAATAACTCATGGATTTTCCCTTAAGCCCAAATTAATAAAAAAAACAGTTATACATTGTTATTCTTGGAAATGTTTCTTACAATTCACGTGCTTAAACTGAAGAAATATGTGCTCCGGTTAATCCAAAATTCACATGATCACCTCTACAGTACAATAGTTGCATATCTTTACAACAGTAGGTAGAGTTTGATTTAAATTGGCGTGGATCTGCTATCCACTGAGTGGGCAGATTGTTCTGCGCTGGAGCAGGAAAGTGTTATCACTGAGCACGCACATCGATCAGTCGATCGTTAGTTTTTGGTATAGATATTTGTGGAAAATTGTATTTTTGGATTATCCGCGATTTTTAGTTATCCGCGGCCGTCCTCCCCGTTATTAGCGCGGATAATTGAGAGTCTATGTTATATGCATATGAAGAGGGAAGAAGATGTCCCTTAACTTTCCAAATTTTGTAATGGGGCCCCCCCGGGGCCCCCCTCCCACCATTTAAAAGTGGCCATTCACAAGCTGAACCCGCCAAAAACAGTGACCCCCACTTGGTTACTAAACATAGGCCACGTAAGTTACTCTAACCCAATATCAACATCACAGGACAGCCAACCCTTCCCTCTCGTGGATTCAGCTATCGCTAATGGCCGAGCTCATCACTCCCCTGTGTCTTGGCCATTTGCGGTCGACTGTGAGATCCCTGTACGCATCGTAAGTGTACTTCTGGCAATGATGATGCCGCGGAAGAACACGCACGTGCCGTTTTGCCTCCGTCTTATCTCTCAAGCGGTCCATCGTGGGTCCCAATTTATGTGTTGCCAGCCTCCAGTGAGGCAGTGAGGTTCAGCCGCACAATTTTTCTCCCTGAAGTGTACTATGGATACGTATACAGTATTGTACACCATTACATTGTTTTAATTCTATACATTTACCGTACAAGTTATATTTAACACTAGAAAACAACAATCACATTATACATTCAAAATGCTTCCTGTGTAATGTTTGGCTTGATGTAGGGTAACATAAAATAGGGGTGTCGTATTACGAACCGTGAACCAAACCTAAGTTTTCCCATTTGCCTTTGAATTTGCGGACCGTGGATTTGCCCAGCAAACCCAATAAATGTTGGCTTGGCTGTTGCTATTCGACTATTAACATCGTATAAGCCACAAACAACAACAACCATTACATCAACCATCACCATAATCACGATTATCACCAAATACACGACCAGCACCACCGATAGTAATACATAGGGTTGAGGTTAGGCACTGGATTCAATCTTGTGAGGCCAATCAATAACTTAATGGACACATTGCCTATTCAACATGATACCCTATGATCACTAGCTCTTTCAACTTAAGCATTATTTCCATATATCTGGTGATACTCCAGTGTTAAATAATACAGTACAGTATAAACACTTAATGGAGGGCATAATTATTAAATTGTAAGCTTGTAATCGCACATCATTAACGGAATTATAACATGATACAATATGGCTTCACAATGCAGTATTGGAGGATAGTTACTCGTTTAAAATATGATTAAGGAAAACAGCATAGCTCCAATATATAAGAAGATTGCTGGTCTGCTGTGTAGTTAATGGGGACGCAGGTCGTTCGCCAATGTTAGCCGTGGCTGGGAATCCAACTCGGATTTCCAGGTTCATAGCATAATGTGGAGTTTTGCTATTGAGTAAATACTGTACAGGTACTGATCTTTAAAAAATATATATCTATACTGTATATAGAAAAGTCTAAGGATGTCTGCAACAACTCAGCTGGCTTCCAAGAGTCAGATACTTTGATTCACTGAGTGTAGTGTCGGTGTTCTGCCTCGCAGCAGGTATGGGGGTGGGTGTACACAGGAATTTCCTGATATGGTGTTGTTTGGTCACGTGACCAGGAAGTGACGATTTAAGATTCTCTAAGCCATGAGGCAGGGTGTCAGCCATTACACAGAGTACAAAAGGGAGGCACAAATAACGTCTCAGTGAAGACAGGTGCATTTGTTCATTGTGGGACTTTAAGAAGCATTGTCTGTAAGTTCGTTTATGTTTTTATAATACTGGGAATTCTGTTATAATTTTAGGATTGCCTTTATAATGCCGTTAAATTGTTATGTTAAATATGAGGCCTAGTTAACAACGAAGCTTGCCACTTGCATTATTGTGAATGTTACTTGTGTAATGAGTGGCTCCGACACGGTAAGAACTTCAAGTTATTTATTAGTTCATATTTCGGTACAGCTTCGGGTGCCTCTCTCTCTCTCTGCGGAGTTGAACCGCTCGAGTGGCTGTGCTGCCCCGCGCCACGTGGCGCTCACCCTCTCACCAACATGCCGCTGGCTGACGGCGCGCTAGGGAGCGGCTGAGCGGCTGGAGGTCGAGCCGCCACGTGGCCGATGGAGATGGTGGCGCAGCAGCGACGGGGAGCTCCTCTTGATCTTGACACACCGACCCCGCACGTTGCTGCGCCCCCGGCTTATATTCGCTCCCCGGCGAATATAAACCTTCGGGAACGTTCCGGAGGCTTCCCTGGTGGATCCGCCCCATCACCTTTACCCCAGATATAATCCCTACTATAGATAAACCGTAACTGTATAAACAATATACGCCCCACAATAATACAGGAGATGGCAATTTTATTACACTTGTAATTGAATAAGTCGAGTCAGATTTGTACCTATGTAACTTTAATGCGATCTTGAGGGCAAGGATGAAGAAGTATCTCATCTCCAGTTCAGTGTTATGTGCAGCGCTGCACATTTAGGCTGCAGTATGTTGATTACACGATGTGACACAGTAGCTTATTCTCTTGTATAGCTATTCAGTGCTAATGTAGGTGCCTGGTCCATCCAGGACTTATTGTTGAGTTTCATGTTATCTAAGACAATGTTATGATGCTCCTTGTGTTCATTCATTGTATCTATATTGCAAGTGTAACAGTGTTATTGGGCCAAGATGCGCCGTTCCCATGCAGTTGCCGGCAATACCCCCTACAGGCCAATAGGGGGCAACAGAGAGGCTGAGCCAAAGTGCTGAGAGTCTATGGGCCATGGGACCCAACGGTTACCCTATGGAACAGTATGTAAAAAGGGCAGACCCCAGAGGGTGTGGCCGGGGCGGAGCGAACCACGGCTCTGTATAAAAGCCGGATCTCTGAACGGTCCCAGCAGTCTTTGTCCAGCTGAAGACAAGAAGCCTCCTGAAGATTGAAGAGCCCCAAGGGCAGAGCCGTACCCCTGGCAAGGGTCGGTTCCAGCTTATATACCAGTGAAGATTCAAGCTTCACTCACGGAGAATTTGTAGATTAATCAGTGAGAGGCGTATTAGTCTGGAGAGTAACCTCCATAGTGTATCAGGTGTGAGGGGCCGTTGCCCCTCTGTGTTGTGTTAACTGTTAAATTAAACTGTGTTGCCTCAGATAAGTTCCCTTCTAGTTATTCAACCTACTACACAGATATTAACAGATGCTGTATTTTGTGCTGTGTTTTTCCATCAGTTTTACCTCGTTCAAATAATTAAATACGTTTGAGTCGGATGTTCACCCTGGCTCTGAAAGTTTATTGAATGTGAGGTTAACTACTCGGATAGTGATGCAAAGCAGCGCACAGCGAGACCGAGACAATCGGAAAAGAACAAAGAAATTAACAATTGATTTTTAAAAATATAAGTAAAAACAAGTGTAAATGTTCAACTAAGAATCTGCTAAATCGGCGTATGTTACGCCGGGTACAGATAGTATAGAGGTAGTCCCCGACTTACGATGGAGATGCGTTACGATGACCCCATCGCTACGATGGTCCGACTACCTATGTAGTCCCCGACTTATGATGGTCCGACTTACGATATTTTGATCTTACGATGGCGATAGCGATATGACAAAATTGTTAAATATTTTTAATTTCGCGCAGCAGGCAAACGCAGCAGCGTACGAGGTACGATACTGTAACTTTATCATCGCCATCCTCTTCTTCCGACAACTAAGTTAACGTAGCCATCAACAACCTAACATTGTTCAAGTATGCA